ACGAAGCAATGAAAATGGTAGAACATGAATGTGTAAAACTGAAGAAAAAAAACTAAAAAAAGAAAAAAAAACTGTGTTGGTTGAGTTTTTTGGATTAATTTTTGGAAATAGAGTTTTTTTTTACTTTTTTTGTGTTTTTTGTGGTGTTTTTAGTGATATTATTTTAAATTTAAACATTATTTTACTTTTTAGATGCATCCTTTAACTTAGGATGTAATCCAAAAATAAAAAATCTGTGAAAAAATATTTAAAAATTAAAATATACATAAAATACAAAATGGTACCTGAATTCTCTAATTTGTTTTGTATTTGTGATATTTTGTGAATTTTTAAAGAGAATTTTTTTCATTTTTTTTTATCTTTTAAGGTATATTTACTTAGAGTAATGTCCTATAATTAAAAACAAATTGCTTAAATATTAAAAAACGATAAAAAAACAGGAAAAAAACAGGCAAAAGAAACTAGAATTTTGAAAAGTGTTTTTGGAAAATGATAACAAGCATAATGTTCTTGTAGTTTTAAAAAATTGAACAAAACTGTAATGGTTATCTATTTTATAAGTTCTATTATTATTAGATAGTTAAAACAAATAGTAAATGATCCTGATTGTTGATACAGCTTGCCTCCAATACCTCTTCTAGTAACTAGTATCCCAGAACTTACAGATCCAACTCCAAATGTGCATTTAAAGCATTAAGTCAGGTGATAGTTCAAGAATATCGAAAACTGCTTCAAGTCGGCCAAGTGATTACTCAGGGTTCTTTGGTCGTCATAAATCATGTCAATGTAATACTTCATTGTTTGCCAATTAGCATGTCTGAACATCTTGGGTCAACAACCTCGGTAGAGTTTGCTCCTTGATTTTTCAAACCCGAAGGCATTACTCTGTGTATATAATCAACCTTTTGGTGTGATAAATGCGTCTTCTTCGCATCAAAGGATAATTGCTATCAATGTGGTGGTTATACCATTTACAGCATCTACAAAGCTCATCCTCATGGCCTTAAGTAGCATGTACTAATAAATTTGAAGTCACATTCTTTTAATCGATAATCCAGGTATATTCTAGAGAGAGAGAGAGAGAGAGAGAGAGAGAGAGAGAGAGAAAGGGAGAGAGAGAGAGTTGTATTTGTCCATGGTGTAATGCTTCCCATTTCAAATGTTTTATTAAAACTTTTAATAAATACTCATGTGGATGCATCATCTACATAAGTGTAAGATTTATACCCATATGAATGATTTAGTAAAAATTTTAATAAATTTTTTTGGACATCTAAGTATTTTTGTTGTCCAAAAAAGAGATGACCGAAAAGAAAAGCTCCATCTAATTAAGAAATCAACTAATAATTCACTGCAGACATTGTTTTAAGTGATGTGAGATTCTTTTAGTCCCAAATAAAAAATAAAAATAACTAAATTGAGGCCATAAAAGTAAATACACTATGATTTTCTTGTGACCTACCAACCCTAACCAAGTAAACTCGAATTAATTCGCATTGAAACTGCAACTGCGATTTTGCTGTAATTTGAATTTATTAATATCCATAATATGTTGTATGTTGACTTTAATTTATAGAAACCAGTTTCATTTGCAAATAAAGAAAAAGAAAGGATGCTAGAGATTTGGAGCTACAGTTTTTAGTCGAGCTTATTTGTTGTAGGGTGGCTAGAGTTAATGTTCTTGTCTCTTGTTGATGATTGAGCTAACATTAGCTCTCCCAAATTTGTTACCCGTGAACGTAAACATATTGTCGAATCACATAAAACTCGTTGTTTCTCTTATGTGTGTACGCATTGATATTTGTTTCTGGGTCCTAGGCACAACATAATAAACAAGGTTTTAGAAAAATTAGTGCAACAAAGTGCACTCTAATAAATAGTTTTGTAAAATATGTATACATGGTTGGTTGGGGTTGGGAATTTTTTACCCAAAATATCGAATTATTTCTTTCAAAATTTGATCCGACCCGACAGATGGGTTGGTTCGGTTCATATGTGTTTTTCAGTTGATTGTCCACTAATACTTAATAACTTGAAATTGAGGCCCAACATGAGACCCAAAAAGAAGGGCCCATACTAACACTAACACACTGGGTTGATGAGTTACAGGTATTGTTATCTCAGGTATTAAGGTCTTGTGTTTGACTCTTGAAAAGTGGGTTAAAAGTCACTTTTCACCTTTTAACTCATTTTGTATAATATCATTTCTTATATTTTTTATACGTTTTTTTTTTTAAAAAGTTTTAAACAGTCAAAAAACTAACTTTTAACCATCTTTCCAAAATACTTCAATATTGTGATTGTTGTGTTTGTCCTGCATCATCTGTCTATGTATTATTAAAAAAAAAATTATATAGTTGAATAACAATTTAAATTTTTTTTTATAATTGTAATTTTTTTTATTATGTTGTACAATGGACGACAAACTTTGGG